AGAAGATGAAAAGATTGCATTCTAGATATAGTTTACTGGATTTGACTATAGAATGGATATAGGATATGAGAAAAAGAGAAGAGTAAAGATAACTCCAGAGCCTTTGCCCTGAGCCATTGAAAGAATGGTGTTTCCATTTATTGAAAAAAGAGTAAAAACTAGGGGGAAAATGTATTTGGTAGGAAAAGCAGGAGTTCAGTTTTGAACACATTGGATTAGTTAAATTTGAGAGGCCTATGAGTTATGTTATGTAAGAATATAATATATAACTGTGGAGTACAGGTGAGAGGTCAGAGCTGGAATTATACATTTGTGAGTTGTCAGTATCTAGATGGTATGCATATATGTATGTATTTAGAGACAGGCTCTCGTTCTGTCACTCAGGCTGCAGTGACCTCATCAAAGCTGACTACAACCTCAAACTCCTGGGCTCAAGTGATCCTCCTACCTCAGCCTCCTGAGTAGCTGGAACTATAGGCACACAGCACCACACCCAGCTAATTTTTCTATTTTCTGTAGTGATGAGGTCTTGCTCTTGCTCAGACTGGTCTTGAACTCCTGACCTCAAGCAATTCTCCTGCCTTGGCCTCCCAGAGTGCTAGGATTACAAGTGTGGGCCAGTAGCACCCAGCATAGATGGTTTTTTAAATCCATTTACATGGATAAAATCATACAGGAGTATAAGTAGAGAAAAGAAAAGAGGTGTGAGAGGGAGAAGTTGACTCAGAGATAAAGAGAAACCAGCAAAGACCTGGAGAAGGAATAGCTAGTGAGGGAGGAAAACCAAGAGAAAGTGGTGTTCAGGAAATCAAGTGAAGAACGTGTTTTAAGAGTGTTCAGTTGTGTCAAATGTTGTATGGGGATTGTATCAGTTGAGGGCCAAACCATGACCTTTGGATTTAGTATTACCAAGGACTTTAGTGACCTTAAAAAGGGTTTTTATGTGGAGTGGTGGGGACAAATAGAGTAGGTTGAATAGAGAATGGGAACAGCTTTCTTTCTTTCTTTTTTTTTTTTTTCAGAGACAAGGGGCCTTGGTCTGCCACTCAGGCTGGAGTACAGTGGCATGATCACAACTCACTGCAGCCTCAAACTCCTGGCCTCAAATGGTCCTCTCACCTCAGCCTCCCAAATAGCTAGGAATACAGGTGTGTGCCACCATGCCTGGCTATTTTTTAAATTTTTTTTGTGGAGACATGGCCTCACTATGTTGCCCAGGCTGGTCTCAAACTCCTGAGCTCAAGTGATCCTCCCACCTCAAGCCTGTCTTGGCCTCCCAAAGTGCTGAGATTATAGGCCTAAGCTAGTAATGCCAGTGAGCAGCTGCAACTCAGCTGCATCTCATTCCTGCTGCATAGGAATGTAGCCCCATAGTGGACAGGTCTTCCTTACATTTTTTAAGAGAAACCTGGAGTGTGGGTTTTTGTAATATATTTCAGGTCCTCAAATATTGGCCACTAATCCAAATCTTTTAAAAATGCTATGTACACTTCACTAGATAGGCCAAACAAAATATATCTAAGGATTGGATCTTGTGCCAGGGCTACCAGTTCCTAAACTCTGGCCTAGAGCTACCCAGTTTATAGGATTGGCAGAAATTTGTCCACTGTCACAAGGTACTAGTGTTTAGGCTGACATTTTTCTGAATTCATTTGACATTAGTCCATTTTTCATAAGCAGCAACACTCTTAAAAAATGCTAAGAAAACTAAAGAGGCCCAGATAGGTGCCCCTCATTGAGACACTAAATTTATTTTAAAATTAGTTTTGTTGAAAGTAAAAAGTGCCTATCCTAGAAATAAATATAACATTTACTCTTTAATAACAAGAGAGATAAAAAGATTTACCTCAAAAAAAAAAAAAAAAGATTTACCTCATGGGATTGTTGAAACACCTACTCCAATTTCAAACACCTATTATTAAAATTTTTAGATCAACAACAGTTATTTAAGTACTAGATAACTGTTAGTTTCACACTCACATGTATAGAATACTATGCAATGGAGATAATATAATACTATCTAATAGAGTTATTATGAGGGTTGGATAAGGTAGTGATTGTGAAAGTACTTTGTAAGTATAAAGTGATAAATACATTTACTGTATAATTATAGTAATTAACAAAGATTACTAAATCAGATCTGTCTTTTAAAAACCAGTATATAAAATTATATATGCATACATATAGATATATAGCATATATAAAAATATGTGTGTATATAAATTTATGGAATTTTAATTCACAAAAATGATTTTTATTCATTTTATACTCTTATCCTTTTAAATTAATAGTGGATTTTGATAGCTATAAACAAATGGTAGTTTATAACCTCACTCTGGTCAACTTTGTCTTTCCATTCTGCCTTATCATTCTTTTTTGTTTTCTCATAATCATTTTTAACTTCTTCTTTTTAAATTTTTTTTTTCTTTTTTAAATAGAGACAGTGTCTTGCTCTTGCTCAGGCTGGTCTCAAACTCCTGAGCTCAAGTGATCCTCCCCCCACAGCCTCCCAGAGTGCTAGGATTACAGGTGTGAGCCACTGCACCTAGCCTACCTTATCTTTCATTTCACTAATTTTCTCTTCAGCTGTGTCTAGTGTACTACTAACCTCATTCATTAAGTTCTTAATTTTGGTCATTATATTTTTCAGCTTTACAGTTTGTATTTGGTTCTTTTCAAACATGCTGTAACGTGTGCATGTAGTTTCCAGTTCTCTGCAAAAATTCTCAATTTTGTCTTTTATTTCCTTGGACATAGTAAGCAGAGGTATTCTAAGGTCTATATCTTCCTATGGTTCTGTCTTATCGCTGTTTCTGTTGGTTCTGATTCATGTTCTCTTGACTCTGTGAATCTGATTTTTTAAGAGACAGGTCTCACTATGCTGCCCAGCCTAGTCTCGAACTTCTAGGCTCAAGCAGTCCTCTCATCTCACCCTTCCAAGTAGCTGGGACTGCAGGCCTGATTTGTCTAAAAAAAAAAAATTGTGTCAGATATTGTATTTGAAAAATTCTTTTTAAAAATAATCTGAGGTCTATGATGAAGTTATCCTCCATTGGAGGAGATGTATATTTTTTCTGCCAGATGCTTGGGGATGGCAACACTTTGAGTTTACTTTAATTCAGTTTCAGAAAGTGAGATAATTTGGAGCTGTACTTGAAAGTGCTGGTCTAGGTCTATTTCTAGATAATCCTTACTCCTAGGGTACCCATAGCCTTTTGGGTACTAGCCAGTGACTTCCCCTTGGAAGTTCCTCTACTCTAAATTTTGAAGCCTTACCCCCACAAAGCTATCAAAAGCCCTGATCAGTCTCTAAACCTCTAAGATGTCTCTTTCAGAACTGGTAAATCCCCCTACATCTCTAATCCCCTGCAAGAGAGGAAAATATGGGTTTTTATCTTCCCTCAGATATTAGATAGTAACTCTTCACTATCTTGTTAGCTGTCTGCAGCCCTCAAAAAGATGTTTTTAAATATTTTTTCCAGCTTTTCTGGTTGTCCTCCAAGGGAAGGTTGGATTACTAGGTACTCTTTTACTTTTGAATTACTAGGTGCTCTTACCAAAAGGAGAAGATTGCTTGTAATTTTTAAACATAATATGCATAATTCCTTTTTAAACCATGGCTGAAAAATTCCAATATCTGAAACATCTAGTCCCTTTGTGGGTCTGTTTTTGTTGTCTGCTTTAGCATTTTAGTACAACATGGTAACATCTGATGGGGTGTGTAGGTTGGACTAAGGGAACACAGAACATGTTTGTAGGCCAACATGAGAAATTCAAACAAGGCTTTCTGGAAGAAATGGTCTCTGTCATGACTTATAATTAAATGAATAAACAACACACACACATTAGCTTTTAATTTTCTGTATATAACATAATAAATGTTCATTGTAAAAAAGTTAGAAAAGTATAAAATATAAAAAGAGAAAATAAAAAATTACCTCCATAACTCCATAATTCCACAATCAGTTAGCTTTTAGATAGACATTTGCTCAGTCTTTTTTTTTTTTTTTTTTTTGAGACAGGGTCTCACTCTGTTTCCTGGCCAGAGTGCAGCAGTGTCATCATAGCTCACTGCAACCTCAAACTCCTGGATTCAAGCAATCTTCCTGCCCCAGCCTCCCAGGTAGCTGGGACTTACAGGTGCATGCCGCCACACTTGGCTAAGCTTTCTATTTTTTTTTTGAGACAGAGTTTCGCTTTGTTGCCCCAGGCTAGAGTGAGTGCTGTGGTGTCAGCGTAGCTCACAGCAACCTCAAACTCCTGGGCTCAAGCAATCCTTCTGCCTCAGCCTCCCGAGTAGCTGGGACTACAGGCATGCACCACCATGCCTGGCTAATTTTTTTCTATATATATTAGTTGGCCAATTAATTTCTTTCTATTTGTAATAGAGACGGGGTCTCGCTCTTGCTCAGGCTGGTTTCAAACTCCTGACCTTGAGCAATCCTCCCGCCTTGGCCTCCCAGAGTGCTAGGATTGTAGGTGTGAGCCACTGCGCCTGGCCAGCTTTCTATTTTTTGAAGAGACAGGGTCTTGCTCTTGCTCAGGCTGGTCTTGAACTCCTGGCCTCAAGCTATCTTTCCTCCTTGGCCTCCCAGGGTGCTAGGATTACAGGCCTGAGCCACTACGCCCAGCCTTGCTCAGTCATTTTACTACTATATATATATTATGTATTTGAGATCATTCCAATATACAATTGTGTATACTTTTCATATAATATTATAACATAAGCATCTTTCCAAATTATTAACAGCAATTTTCCAAGCCATTTTCCATGGCCACCCATTGTATGGGTATGGCATTATTTACTTAGGTATATATCCCTATGAGCCATTAGGTTCTTTTTCATTTTTTCTAATATCAAAAAATAATGTTATAGTAAGCAGTTTGATTAGTAGATGTGTTACCTCTTTTTTATTATATTTTAAAATGAATTTCTAGAAGTCGAACTACTAGGTTTAAGAATATAAAATATCTTTAAAGTTCACATATGTTTTTTACAGTCTTGAAAAGAAAAAAAAATCAAAAAAACTAAAGAAATCACAACTATTTGCAGTAGCTGCATCTGAAAAAGAGGATGAGTTCCATTCACCCAGCATCTCACAGTCTTTTAGTGTGCCCAAGCTCTCTCCAAATCTTAATTTCTCCAAAGTACACCTGCAAAAGAACCTATTGGAAGAATACAAACTCATTGCTCCTGAAATACTGTGTGAACTCGGGGAGACATTGCAGAAATATGCTGAGTGTAACATTACTTTCCCTGTGGGAGTTGAAAATCTCATGAATTACACTTGGAAAGATCTTACTGAAGATGCTCATAGATATGTATCCAAAGCTTCAACATGCGGGCAAGACAAAGCCTTGCAAGGAAATTCCAATTTCATGACCATAGTTGACTTAATTGGATGCAAAAGCAGAAGCTGTTCAAGAATAGAATGTCATAAAGAAAATCATCTGGTTAAAGCAGAAAAAGACCACCATGTTACACCAAGTAAATCTATGGAAAAAATATGTAAGTAGAAGTTAGTGATTGAATTTATAAATTATACTCCAGGATATATAAATAAAATAGCAAGTATGTGAGATATTGATTTAAAAACATATTAATGCTATTTAGTTTTAATAAGTAATTAGTGAATGCTAGGAGAAAGATACAAGAATTTATGGTGCTTACAGTTAAATGAAACATCAATTAAGCTTTTATTAGATTCCATGTGATATGAAGTTTCTGCCTCAGGATATCCGTGAGATTCTGTTACAACAGCGTGGTCCAATAGAAATATAATGAGGGACCCATTATAATTTTTTAAATTAAACTTTGCATTTTAAGGTAATTGTATATCCACATGCAGTTTTAAGAAATAATATGGAGAGATCCCATGTACCCTTTACACCTTTTCCCCATATGGCAACATCTTGCAAAACTACAGTATAACATTATAACCAAGATATTGATGTTGACATAATCAACATTCAAAACACTTCCACCACCACAAGGATCCGTCATGATATCCTTTCCTAGCCAGATCCACTTCCTTTCTGACCCCTCTTCCTCTTTAATCCTGGCAACCACCAATATGTTCTCCATTTCTACATTTTTATCATTTCAAGAATTTTGTATAAGTGGAATCATACAATGTGTAACTTTTGGTGATTGCTTAGTTCTCTGGAGATTCATCTAGGCTGTTGTGTGTATCAGTAGTTTGTTCTTTTTCATTGCTGAGTAGTATTCCAAATCATTGATATACCACAATATAACTATTCACTTTTTGAAAGATATGTAGGGGTTTGGCATGGTTTCAGTTTCTGGCTGTTCCAAAAGCTGCTAATACATTCACATACAGGTTTTTATGTAAATACAAGTTTTGATTTCTTTTTGTTAAACATACAGTAGTACAATTGCTGAGTTGTGTGGTAATGACCTATTTGCTTTTATATGAAACTGCCAAACCATTTTCCAGGGAGTCTACTATTTTACATTCCCACCAGAAATGTATGAGTGATCCAATTCCCCTCCATCCTCACCAGTATTTGGTATTATCAGTATTTTTTAGCCAGCCACTCTGATGGGTGTGTGGCTATGTCTCATTGTGGTTTTAACTTATATTTCCCTCATGGCTGAATGATGTTGAATATTCTTCCTGTGCCCACTTGCCATCAGTTTCATTATCTGTAACATGGGGCTGCTAATTGTACTTCCTTCCAGGGCTATTTTAAATATTAAATAAGTTAATACTAAAGCACATGAAGAAGTATCTGAACGCAGAAGACACTAAATATGTGTTTATTATTGTCTCATATGAGTCTCATAGTTACACTTTCATATACTGATGTTATTATTGGTTCCTGGTGGTTCATGAGGTCCAATACATTTGCTTTAATAAGCTAATTCCAGTAAAAAGTGGTTTTTTTTTTTTTTTTTTTTTTACTTCTTAAGAACAAGTGATTGCTGTTAATGAAAGGTTGAAATGCTCTATAGCAGGGCTTCTGAAAGTGTGGTCCCTGAACCAGCACCATCAGCTCACTGGGAACTTGTTAGAACAGCAGATGTTCAGGTCTCATCCTAGACTTACTCGATGGGAAACCAGAGGCGGAGCCCAGCAAGCCCTCCAGGTCATCCCAATACATGCTAAGGTTTGAGAAGCATTGCTTCACAGCTGTTTCTCTGGTGGTAATTTTACAATTTCAACCAGAATGTAAGCATCCGTGATGGTGGAGATTTTCATCTGTTTTATTCATTGCTCTGTCCTGAACAAATATGAATAGTAGGTACTCCATTAATGTTTGCTGACTGACTTTATGAATGATCATAAATCTCTCTGAAACTCTGTTTCCTTACCCCACCAGAACAGATTTATTAAATATAACAAAATCCTGTATACAAAGTGACCTGGACCTACTGCTTTAAAACATGATCCTTTTTTACTAATATCTTGAGAGGTTGGTCCACAGAGTGTTAAGAAGCAACTTACTCTAAAATAAATAGAAAAGTGCCCAATGTACACTAAATGAATAGCCTAATTGCTAGAACTTTAGTAGTTCTATAAGATAATTAATATACGTAGGATCGAGTCCCTGTGACAGGACAGGACATTTTGTGCACTGCCACTGTGATGCCATCATGTTTCTGGATCATAATATTCCTATTTTCTGATTCTAGACACACCACAGGAATATCAGTGGGGTCAGAGGTTAGCTTAGCTACTTGCTGGGCTAGAACAAATACCACTCCAGTATGTTCATCCAACCAGTTCCACGGCAGCCTGGATTAAGTCCTTGTGAATCTGTACACAGAACTCCAACAATAGACAGATTCTTCATGTGTCCTCCAAGTGCTGCTCCAAGGTCATCTCCATCCTGCCCTCTGTCCACCTCATCCCAGAACCCAGCCTCTGAAACTCTGTTTCTAAGAGTCCCTGTGAATGTAGGCTGTGTTAGATGCTTTGGATCAGTATTTCTAATCATGTTTCTGTCTACCTGGAAGAGAGACTGCAAATGTGGACATACCACAGGTTGATTCTGCTAGTGATGATGATCATGCTAATAGTTAACTTTTATTGGGCCAGGCACTGTGCTAGATTTTTACATGCATTATCTTATTTAATCTTCTAGAGAACCCTATCAGATAAATATTAGTGTATCCATTTTATAAATGATAGCTAGGTTCAGAGAGATTAAATAACTTGCTCCAAATCACAAAGTGATCCTTGGCAGACCAGAGTGTCTAACTGTAAGTACCAAAGAGTATCCCACTTTCAATGGCCAGAATTTTGAATTTAGGAACTAGACATCAATTCAATGAAGAAAAAATTTAGAGGGAAATATATTGCCATCAAAAGTATGGAGAATCCTATTCTTCCAGTTCCCTACTATTTTTCTAGGACTTCCATCTCCTGTGTAGTAACACTAGCTGTGTGTGAATTAATTAAAATTGGATAAAATTAGACATTCAAGGCCGGGCGTGGTGGCTCACACCTGTAATCCTAGCACTTTGGGAGGCCGAGGCGGGCGGATTGCTCAAGGTCAGGAGTTCGAAACCAGCCTGAGCGAGACCCTGTCTCTACCAAAAATAGAAATAAATTAATTGACCAACTAAAAATATATATACAAAAAATTAGCCGGGCATGGTGGTGCATGCCTGTAGTCCCAGCTACTCGGGAGGCTGAGGCAGTAGGATCACTGAGCCCCGGAGATTGAGGTTGCTGTGAGCCAGGCTGACGCCATGGCACTCACTCTAGCCTGGGCAACAAAGTGAGACTCTGTCTCAAAAAAACAAAAACAAAAACAAGAAAAAAAAAAATTAGACATTCAGTTCTTCAGTCTCACTAGCCATGTTTCAAGTGCTCAATAGTTACATGTGGCTAATGGCTACTATCTTGGACAGTGCACATTTAAAACTTTTTTTTTTTAGAAACAGAGTCTTGCTCTGTCACAGAGGCTGGAGTGCAATGAGTGGTGCCATCGTAGCTCACTGTAACCTCCAACTCCTGGGCTCAAGTGATTCTGCCATCTCAACCTCCCAAGTTGCTGGGACCACTACACCCAGCTAATTTTTTTTTTTAACAGTTTGATTATCATAGAAGGTTCTGTTGCAGTGCTGTTTCAGGAGGTAACATATTTGTAAAACAGGGTTGAGTCCACCATCAAATAACTAGTAGATGAATTAAGTTTAGAAATAAGCCCCTCATCCACTAGGATGACTATAACTGAAAAGATGGAGGCCGGGCACGGTGGCTCACGCCTGCAATCTTAGCACTCTGGGAGGCCCAGGCGGACGGATTGCTCGAGGTCAGGAGTTTGAAACCAGCCTGAGCAAGAGCGAGAGTCCCGTCTCTACTATAAATAGAAAGAAATTAATTGGCCAACTAATATATAGAGAAAAAATTAGCCGGGCATGGTGGCGCATGCCTGTAGTCCCAGCTACTCGGGAGGCTGAGGCAGAAGGATTGCTTGAGCCCAGGAGTTTGAGGTTGCTGTGAGCTAGGCTGACGCCACAGCACTCACTTCTAGCCTGGGCAACAAAGCAAGACTCTGTCTCAAAAAAAAGAAAAGATGGATAATAACAAATGTTGGAGAACATGTAGAGAAACTGGAGCCCTCATCCATTACTAATGGGAAGGTAAAATAGTGTAGCTGTTTTGGAAAACAGTTTGGCAATTCCTCATAAATGTAAACATATATTAATAGTTAGCATATGACCTAACAATTCTCCTTCTAGGTGTATACCCAAGAAAATGAAAGACATGTCCACATGAAATCTTATACACAAATGTTCATAGCAGCATTATTCATAGTAGCCAGTATGTGGAAAAAACCCACATGTCTATCCCTTGATAAATGGCTTAACAAAACATGATATATCCATACAATAGAATATGATTCAGCCATAAAAAGGAATGAGTGAAATACTGACCTATGCTATGAAATGGATGAACCTTGAAAACATGCTAAGTGAAAGAAGCAAGTCACAAAAGGCCACATATCATATGATTCCTTTTTATGAAATATCCAGAAAAGGCAAATCCATAGAAACGGAAAGTGGATTAATGGATTCCAGAGGTTGATGTGAGAGGAAAATGAGGAGTTACTGTGAATAGGTATAGAGTTTCTCTTGGGGGTAATGAAAATATTATGGAATTAGATAGTGGTGATGGTTGTACAACTTGTGAATGTGCTAAAAACCACTGAACTGTATACTTTCAAAGGGTGAGCTTAGAGTATGTGAATTATAACCTAATAACCTAATAACCTATGAAAACAAAATAAACTGTGACATTCCAATTCAAATGGCCAGGGTTTTATAATAAAAACAGCTAGCTAGGCCAGCCATGGTGGCTCACGCCTATAATCCTAGCACTCTGGGAGGCTGAGATGGGCAGATTGAGCTCGGGAGTTCGACACCAGCCTGAGCAAGAGTGAGACCCCAACTCTACTATAAATAGAAAGAAATTAGCTGAACAACTAAAAATATATAGAAAAAATTAGCCGAGCATGGTGGTGCATGCCTGTACTCGGGAGGCCGAGGCAGAAGGATTGCTTGAGCCCAGGAGTTTGAGGTTGCTGTGAGCAAGGCTGATGCCACGGCACTCTAGCCTGGGCAACAGAGTCAGACTCTGTCTCAAAAAAAAACAAACAAAAAAACCCCCAGCTAGCTAAGAGATGTAATTCATAGTAACTACAACTGCAGACTCTGGAGTTGTTTTGAAATCTGAAGTGAGCTATATAGGTGGTGGCTATTGTTTACACCAGTAATCTTAGTAATTATTGCAGAATTTGAAATGGAACTCTGGTCTTCAGACTCCAGACCTAGGGATAAATATCCTCCATTCTTTTGCTTCCCTTTACCCAATATGTGTTATTGCAATATCGGGCAACATCTCAGGCTGCTGTAAAAGGAGAGTAAGCAAGCGAGCCAGAGAAAGAGAGAGAGAGAGAGAGAGAGAGAGAGAGAGAGAGAAACAGCCTTCCCAAAGCAATGAAGTCTTATCCCCTCATTGAGTTTTCCGTGGCCAGCTCTGCTCCTGCAATAGTACTGTGACTGTGAGCTGTGAGAGGGGTTCATTTTTGTCCTTGTGATTTCATAGAGGTGGCTTCTTGAAGTCCTATCAGTGACTGAGAATAGATAGGCTCAGAGGCCCCTGAGAAGTCTTAGGAGCCATGAAATTTAGGAGATATTTTTGTTTGTTTTATTTGTTAGTTGGTTGGCTGGTTGGTTTTTTAAATTTCTCACGTAGTGGTTTTTCTGTTTGTTTTTTGAAACAGGGTCTTGCTTTGTCCCTAGTGTGCAGTGACACCATCATAGCTCACTGCAACCTCAAACTCCTGGGCTCAAGTGATCCTCCTGCCTCAGCCTCCCGAGTAGCAGAGACTACAGGCATGCATCACCATGCCCAGCTAATTTTTTTTTTTTTTTTTTTGTAGAGACAGAGTCTTGCTCTTGCTGAGGCTGGTCTCAAACTCCTGGCCTCATGTGATCCTCTGGCCTTGGCCTCCCAAAGTGCTAAGATTACAGGCATAAGCCACCTGCCCTAGCCCTAATGTAGTGTTTTTCATTTATAGATCCCTTCTCTCTTTCTCTGTCTTCCTCTGTTTTTATTTTACTTTTGTTTTATGGGAGCATTCAGAGTAGATGAAAATTCATGTTTGATGTTAAAATTTGTGTACATCTGTTTAACATGCATGTTTCCATTGAGAAGCATGTCAGGACCCTTGAGAGCAGTTTAGAATGGCCTTATAGAAGGCCATGGCCATGAAAAGGCATCTCTCAAGTCTTGGATGACAGTAAGGGTAATTAGCTGATGACCTCAATGGCTGGGCTCAAAAATTCATCACCGCTTTTGTGCTGAAGCCCACTTGACGTGGGCTACTTCCAGTAGATGAGTGAACATGGCAGGACACCAAGGCAGGTTCATTCCTAGGAGACAGAGGACTCTTCTGATGGGTGGCTATGGTTTAAGAACTCTCCATGGGCTTTGCTAAACTTAGACTGCACGGCAACAGAAGATGCTTCTACCCAACCTTCCTTCCTTCCCTCTCTCCTTTACTCGGGGTCAGACCTACATCACAGGCTGAGAGGAGGCTCTCCCAGCCTCCTCCACCTCCCTCCCCATGTTCTCTCTCAGGCATTTCCCCTAATAAATCTCTTTTACATCTAGTCACATACTGGTGTCAGGTTCTTAGAAGGCAAGGACTAACATGGAGGGGATTCCAAAAGACCTGCCAATCAACAAGAGATAGGACCAATCCTTCCCCACTGACCAAGTTTATATGGCAATGATGAACTTGATCGTTACGAGCATCAGCAGCTATAGAAGCACTGAATATTTTCTCTGGCTTATATTTTTAATTTTAATGACAGCCAATATGGTATGAGGAGTGGAACCACATTCTTTGGAGTTAGAAAGCCTCCAAAAGACTGAATTCCAGTTCTACCACTAACCAGTCCTGTGAAATTGGGAAAATATAAGTCTTGATTTCCTCATCTTAAAGTGAGGGCGGTTAAGTGTAGAACTTTGTTGAGAGAATGCAATGATAAAATGCGTATAAAGTGCTTAGCATAGTGCCTAGGAGACAGTTAAGTGTTTGATAAATATATGTCGCAGTTGTGAAAATTCTTACCTGCAGCCTTATTTCTTTTATTTTATTTGTCATTATAATTTTTCTGTGTTACTTTTTTTTAGATGCAGCCTAATTGTTATGGAATTCTGGACTTATGAACCTCCGAATTCATATAATAAAGTTTAAGAAGTTCCCAGGAGTTTTGTTTTCTTTTCACAGTGTACCAGTTTTTCCTTTTAGATAGCATATAAACTATATTTTTTTCTCCACAGGATGAATTCATTCCACTTCATAGATTAGTAAAGTTTTTTGTTTTAAATTTACATTTTAGCACAAAACTTAACAATGACACAGAGGGGCCTTGTGTCCTGGGAGACTTTTTTTTTTTTTGCCTCTATTATCCAGTTGATAGAAGAAGGAATGAAAATAAAGCATGAGTCCTTTTTCAGCAGTCTCATGTGGAGGGCAGTTCTTAGAACAAAAGCGTAAATGAAACAGTCTTTTAATAAATCAAAAAATTATGCAGCAGAGTTTTCAGTTTAGAGAGCTGATTCATTTCTAGAGCAAATGATGAGCATATTTCATGGGTTGATATTTATGGAAAACTTTGCTAATGCCCTGATGAGAATATTAAAATACAACTGGATTTTCTGTTGATGATGCTCTTTTTATCTCTTCATTCATGTTCCTTCTTTTTTCCTAGCTTTTGACAACCAAAACCAGGAGAGCAGTTTACCTGTTGTCATCCACTTCTCACTTTCATCCAAGATCTGTTTTGAAAATGGTAAGATCACTTTCACCCTCTCGACTCTGACAAGCAACCAGAGAGAGTTACTTCCATTCCCTTAGTTTCAAACCCTTACCCAGCCATCCTCTTACTGTAACCTCATTCGGAGCCAGACATTTAAGTTCATGGACTCCATCTCAGACTTTTCCAAGGCATCCCCCTCTGATACAGCCTCCACCACCCCAATTTCTCCACTCTATACCTTGGGAGTATTTTCTTCATGGTTCTGAGAAGCCAAGACCATGGCTTTGGTGACAATGACATTCATGTGCCCGGAAGAGTGGCTCAGTGCCCTTCCATCACAAAAACAAACTACCCTGGACAGGGAACCAGGGCTTCTATGCCAAAAGGCAAAAATTTGTTCTTAAATTGTTTAAATGTTATAAAAGAGACCTCCCAGGGAAAATGGTTGCACAAATCTGGAAAGAATACTGTCTATCCCTGAATGAGGTTGTAAAGGAGGTAAGATGTGAGCTGTTGGAAAAAGGGAACCTTGTCCTCCCTTGGAGCACAGGCATAGGACAGCTGACTGCTACTCTACTCAGGGAGTGAGTAGGAGGGAGGGCGGACTGCTATGGATCTCATGGGGGGGCTTCTCATGACCTTTTCATCAGAGATCTGACAACCTTAAGAACTCTTGAAATGTTCTTGCTTCTAGAGAATGTTCTTAGGTGTCAGGTGTCCATTCCACACCTTCCCCACCTACCCTACATATACTTCTGAATTTGATGTAATGAGGAATCAGAATTTAGGACTGGACCTGTCTCACTGGGGCGGGCCAGATATTGAGGAAACAGATCCAGGTGCACATGCTAAGAACAAGCCTGTGAGGTATGGCAAAGCAGCAAGTAGCAGTGAAGTTAACCATGAGATATCCAGAGGGTGCAGCATGGAAATGTCCAAGAATTTAAATAGGTGGCCCAGGGACAGGAAGTCTCTCAGTAGACAATCAAATGGCAAGCAGGTGGTCAGCCCACCAGGTAGTCTGTCAGCAAGGAACAAAGTCTTCGTCACTGAAGGGCAGGACTTAATCCCAGGTTTGGAGGCTGGGAACAATTAGGACATTTTCCAGTCCTAAGGAAACCAGATGGAGCTTGTTCATTCTTCCAGTCTAAGGTTAGGATTGTTATTATGATCCAGTGGGGATGAGCCTGAATGTGATTATGATTACGTTAGTCAGGACTCTTGGTGGGTGAGTGACAAGAACTCAACTCACATTAGCTTAAGTGACAAGATAATTAGTTGTTTGTGTCCTAGAGGGTAGCTTACAAGATTAAAGGAAGAACTGCAAGAACAGGATCCAGGGCAGGATGTGAGGACTCCACACTGCAGGAACTCCTCGGTCCAACTCTGCATGACTGCACTCTGCAGTCAGGCTCTCTCCACGTGGTGAAGAAGATGGTCACTGCCATCCCTAGATTCAGGTGCTCTCTTCCTAAGTAGAAAGTGACTCTTTTGTCCCAATGTCATGTGTCAATCCCAGCTAATGACTCTGATTAGCTGTGTTTGAATAAAGTGCCCACACTATGGCCACATCTTGGTTGCCTCGAAGATGGGGTAACATTATTAGTCAAATCCAGGTCGCTGGCTCTTGGATGGCAACGATGCCCCAATCCACAGTTTCACCTGGAGCTGTGGCTAAAATAAAGAGCTCACAACAAGGGCAAGAGAACAGGACATGGAATATCAGGTACCCATTCTAATTACAGCCAATGTTTCTCCTACGCATAAGGCAAAAATTCTGGAAGGAGATACACCATCTTGTGATAGGATTCTATGTTCTTTTTTTCTCCCTTTCATTTCTTTATCTTCCAAATTTTCTTTTATATGTAATATACTGGCTTATTGAATGGACTAGAATTAGTGGGATGAAATAAAGAAATAGCAGGTTGTTTTTCTTCTCCCAAATTCCTGAAAGTTGTTTGTGGATCTTTCCACGTATACCCTACAAAGGTAGAATTTTTACAAAGAGAAGAATGTTAGAGCTGAGTGGAGCCTGAGAAGATCATCACATTCAATTTTCTTATTTCACAGATGAGAAAACTGATGCCCAGAGGTGTTGAGTACCCAAACTGGTTAGTGGGAGAGTCAGAAACAGAACCCAGGTTTATTGACCACTGATAAAATGTTTTCTCTGGGCCGGGCGCTGTGGCTCACGCCTGTAATCCTAGCTCTTGGGAGGCCGAGGCGGGCGGATTGCTCAAGGTCAGGAGTTCAAAACCAGCCTGAGCAAGAGCGAGACCCCGTCTCTACTATAAATAGAAAGAAATTAATTGGCCAACTGATATATATAAAAAATTAGCCGGGCATGGTGGCGCATGCCTGTAGTCCCAGCTACTCGGGAGGCTGAGGCAGAAGGATCACTCAAGCCCAGGAGTTTGAGGTTGCTGTGAGCTAGGCTGACGCCACGGCACTCACTCTAGCCTGGACAACAAAGTGAGACTCTGTCTCAACAAAAAAAAAAAAATGTTTTCTCTGGTATAAGGGAATCTGTCCCTAAACTGGGGGATGCTGGAGAATCTGGCCTGTGGGTCCACACACTATGTGGGGATTCTTCAAAGTCCGCAAATACTTCAGATGCCATCATAGGGATTTAATTATTTTGGGTTAGAGCTTTGATCCCATTCCAGTGCAAATTCCCTTGAGAAGAGGTCATTCTAAAGCTGATGATTATGTATATTTTAATAAAAATGGATTTTGGTTCCTTTTTTCAAGTAGGCTTTATTAGCCTGATGGCTGGACAGGGTTTACCCAGTGAGAGTACTGACTCAGTTTAATTTTGAAATATCCCTTTTTTGTTTAATGTCTGTGTCTTCTTTTTTAAGGTTGGATCTTTCAACATCCTTACTCAAAATTGGAAATTCTGAAGTGGAAGACAATCCTCAGTATTGCTGTGAAGAGACTACAAGTAGCCATAATTCAAATGTAGGGAGCTCTCTGCAGTCTTTACAATTATATACTTTTTCTTTTCTTTCTTTTTTCCTTTTCTTATTTTTTGAGACAGGGTCTCACTGTGTTGCCCAGGCTGACCTTGAACTCCTGGGCTGGAGCTATTCTCCTGCCCCAGCCTGTTGAGCAGCTGGGACTACAGGCACGTGCCACCACTCTCAGCTGCAATCATATAATTTTATACAGCATATGGTATGATAAGTAACAGAAATGCAGAGCCTGTGGTATCCTGGACAAGTCACCCTGTCACCCTATTGTATCTGCAATGTGACCTTATCAATCAGGTTTGCTAGGTGACTGTTACCTGGTACAGAATAATATGTGAAATCGGTGGGGAGGAGGGAAAAAAGAAAAGAAGTCAGGGAAAAAAAAAACTCAGCTCTAGGCCAAGCACTGTTCTAAGTAAACATAAAACCAGTCCCTGTGTTCAAGGAACTTGTCACCTAGAATGGTAAACTAAGCATCTCAGCAAGTTAACAATCATCAGAGGACAAATCAAACTGATACAGGAAAGTGAACCCCAAAACTGGGGCCCAGCATGAAGGCCAAATGGGTTCTTGGCTTCACACAGGAAAGAATTCAGCAGCAAGCCGACAGAGTAAAGCAAAAGCAAGTTCATTGAAGTAACAAAGGAACACAAGGAAGGCTTGCTCCATAGGCAGAGCAGCTGCTTTCTCTCAGAGCAATGAAGAGTAGCATTTTGTGAGTTTCCAGGGTCTTATTTTATACCTTCTATTTAATTTTATGTTAAGCAGAGGGAGGATTATTCATAAGATTTTTGGGAAAGGTGTGGGGAGTTCTTGGAACCAAGGGTTCCTCCCCTTTTAAAACCATATAGGTGGGAGTTTCTTTTCGTATGATAAAACATCATAAGTGGGGCATAATGACCAGTGAGGGTAACCTGTGGTCATTTTTTTTTGTCATCACCTTGGTTCCAGCTGGGTTTGGCTGGCTTCTCTACTGCCTCTTATTTTACCAGAGAAGCCAACCTTTATCACCTTGGTTCGGCCTTATGACTCCTTATCAAGCAGGGCATGCCAGTTCCCTATCTCAAAACAAATAGGAAGTACTAATAACAATAGAAACCATTGCAAAATATCTATCTACTCTGTGCTAGACAGTACACTTGACACTTTACATATGTCACCTAAATTCCTCGTAAAAACCCCATGAAAGAGGTATGACTATCATCTCCATTTTATTGATGAGGAAACTAATGTACCGTAAAGCATGGCACTTTGTTCCCAGTAATACAGCTAGAAAAAGGCTGAGCCAGAGGTAAAACCTGCCTCCCGGCCGGGCGCGGTGGCTCACGCCTGTTATCCTAGCTCTCTGGGAGGCCGAGGCGGGCGGATTGCTCGAGGTCAGGAGTTCAAAACCAGCCTGAGCAAGAGCGAAACCCCATCTCTACTATAAATAGAAAGAAATTAATTGGCCAACTAATATATACAAAAAATGAGCCGGGCATGGTGGCGCATGCCTGTAGTCCCAGCTACTCGGGAGGCTGAGGCAGGAGGATCCCTTGAGCCCAGGAGTTTGAGGTTGCTGTGAGCTAGGCTGACGCCACGGCACTCACTCTAGCCTGGGCAACAAAGCAAGACTCTGTCTCAAAAAAAAAAACAAAAAAAACCTGCCTCCCTTTGACTGCAGAATGCAGACTTGTTTTTACTCAGGTTCCTCACCTGGCCTCTGGGGTGAAAATAACAGCGTATTGCTTTGGGGGGTGTATTTTTAGTGTAATCCATGCTTAGTATCTATATTTTTCAAAACTTTACAAAAGTATAAGAGAGAAATTAAAATCACATAATCTTTTCACCAAGGGAATGCCATTTTAACCTTTGGGCATGTTTCCTTCCAATGTTTTCTCCAATATACATACAACACCTCCCATCCCCTCCAACATACATACAGTAGGTAGGCATTTTATACTATGTGTTTTGTGTATGTGTGTGTGTGTATATATATATATATATTTTTTTTTTAATATAAACTATCTTTTGAATACCATTTTTGTCCTCGTTTGTTTCCTTTTGTTTGATCATGAGCATTTTCCCATGATATTCAGTTTCTCAGAAGCAAGCGTTTGAATGGCTACTTTGAATTCCATGGTATGGATGTGCCATGATTTTTTGAGCCTTTCTCCTACTATTGAACAGTTATTGTGCAACCATCCTAAACACTTTTTGTCTTTTTGGTTCTTTCCTAAAGCTAGATGCCTAGAAGTGGAACTTGGTTAAAGAATATGAACATTTTTAAGGTTCTAGAGATGTACTGCCAGCCAGGCGTGGTGGCTCATGCCTGTAATCCTAGCACTCTGGGAGGCTGAGGCAGGTGGATTGTTTGAGCTCAGGAGTTTGAGACCAGCCTGAGCAAGAGCGAGACCCCGTCTCTACTAAAAATAGAAAAGAATTAGCTGGACAACTAAAAATATATAGAAAAATTTAGCTAGGCATGGTGGCGCATGCCTGTAGTCCCAGCTACTCGGGAGTCTGAGGCAGAAGGATCGCTTGAGCCCAGGAGTTTGAGGTTGCTGTGAGCTAGGCTGATGCCACAGCACTCTAGCCTGAGCAACAGAGTGAGACTCTGTCTCAAAAAAAAAAAAATATATAAAAAAATAGAGATGTACTGCCAAATTGCTTTCTGGAAAAACCAAGCCACCTAACCCTTCAGAGCAAAGCATTGGAGGGCCCTCACCATTCTGGGCACCGAGTAGAATTATCATGTTATTAACTTTGCTAAATTGATAGACACAAAATGCTCCTGTTAAGTATCTATTTCTTTGCTAATTAGAGAGGTTTATCATTTAAGCATTTCTTGATCTTTTAAAAAATATCTTCTATGAACTGGGTGTTCCTGATCTTTGTACTTTTTTCCTCACCCTATGGGTTTTAATGTCTTACCTGTTTATCTATGTTTTTTATGTACTAAGAATATTAATTCTTTGTTATTTGTGGTAAATATTTATTTCTCTAGTTTATTTGCTTTTTAACTTTAAGACATAGGTGTTCTAAATTTTATTATTGTAAAATTGTCAGTGTTTTAGGATTTTTCCCATTGTTTTTATAACTAGAAAAACCTATCCTCATTTGATAGACCTATGCTACTTTTTATTTCTTTTTTAATCTTTTTTCTACATTTAACTGGAAATTTTGTGTGAGTTGTGTGAGGTGGTGAGTTCTAGCTTTATTCCTTCTATGCCAATAATAATGATAGTTAATGTTTATCGAGTGCTAATAATAATAGCTAATGTTTATTGAGTCTTGTTTCATGTGTAAGGAGCTACATGAAACACTTTACATACCTCTGTGAGTTAGTTGCTGTTTGTTTTGTTTTGTTTTGTGACAGTCTCACTCTGTTGCCTGGGCTAGGGTGCCGTAGCATCAGCCTAGCTCACAGCAATCTTAAACTCCTGGGCTCAAGCAGTCCTTCTGCCTCAGCCTCCCAAGTAGCTGGGACTACTGGCATGTGCCACCATGCCTGGTTAATTTTTTTCTTTTTTTAATTTCAGCATATTATGGGGGTACAAATGTTTGGTTACGGGGTCTCGCTCTTGCTGAGGCTGGTCTTGAGCTCCTGACCTCAAGTGATCCTCCCGCCTTGGCCTCCCAGAGTAGTTGCTGTTTTTATGCCAAGGTCAGAAAGCTAGTAAGTGGGTCTATCCTTAAGCCTGTGCATTTAACCACAACACTCTTTTATCTCTTGGAGCCATTTATTGAATACACTGTTACCCACTGATTAATCATATCTTTACTTTTCTATACATTAGGGTATGCTTTTGAGCTGTCTTTTCTTTTTGAGACATGGTCTCACTCTGTTGCCCTGGCTAGGGTGCAGTGGTAAGAGATCATAGCTCACTGTAACCTCAAACTCTTGAGTTCAAGCAATCCTCCTGCCTCAGCCTCCTAAGTAGCTGGGACTATAGGCACACGCTACCATGCCCAGCTAATTTTTAAATTTTTTGTAGAGAAGGGGTCTCACTATGTTGCCCAGTCTGTGAGCCTGTCTTTTCTGTTCCATTGATCTACCTGTTAAGTCTTCAGCTGCCTTAATTTTTCAGATTATATCATATGAGATAGGCAGGTAGAGAATGGTATTAGAAAGAGGCCTTAAAGCCCAGTTGATTCAGTTAAAATCCCAGCTCCATCCATTCATGTGACCTTGGCAGTCTCTTAATTTCTCTTTGTCTCACTTTCCCTACTGGTAAAATGGGGATAATAATAGTGGCTTCCATTTAGGGTTGTTATAAATATTCCTAACACCAGTAAGCATTCAGTGAGGAATAATATTGCTGTCTTAATACCTGATATAGGCCGGCGCGGTGGCTCATGCCTGTAATCCTAGCACTCTGGGAGGCCGAGGAGGGAGGATTGCTCAAGTTCAGGAGTTCAAAACCACCCTGAGCAAGAGCGAGACCCAGTCTCTACTATAAATAGAAACAAATTAATTGGCCGACTAATATATATAGAAAAAAAAAATTAGCCGGGCATGGTGGCGCATGCCTGTAGTCCCTGCTACTTGGGAGGCTGAGGCAGGAGGATTGCTTGAGCCCAGGAGTTTGAGGTTGCTGTGAGCGAGGCTGACGCCATGGCACTCACTCTAGCCTGGGCAACAAAGTGAGACTCTGTCTCAAAAAAAAAACAAAAAACCTGATATACCAGATCCTCTCTGTTACTTTTTCTACGTAGAAGCATCTTGGCCAGTTTCACCAATTAATTCTTCCAGGTAAACTTAGAATTAGTTTTTAAGTTTAAAAAGGCCTCCAAAGTGATGCAGAGCAGAGAGCATATTTTAATAAAATGAAAGCCAAACCTGTAGGAGGTATATGGGAACTCTCTGTACTTTCTGCTTAATTTTGCTGTGCACCTAAAACTGCTCTAAAAAATAAAGCATTTTTTTTAATTGAAAGGAAAAAAAGTGTAAAGTCAGAGTCAGAACACTCAATTAGTCATGGGCATAGGATCGTATGTAAGTTACTTGGACTCCCTGAACCTCACTGTGTTTAGTCACTTAGGGATAATAACATGTCTCTGTTTAACACTGTAGGTTGTTGTAAAGCTGAAATCAACACAATATGCATAAACATGTTTTGTAAAGCACTAACAAGTAAAAGGCATTTTAAAAATAATAACCTAGTACCATCAGAGGTAGTTTCTTGAAACAAGTAGGTTTAGAACCAAGAAGAGATGGCTTGGCAGAGGAGACAGAGGAGGAGAATTTAGCTGGCACACAGCAGCAGGGATGAGCAAGAGGCCATTAAAATGACCCATAGCAATAAACCCTGTCAAGGGAGTGGTTTTTTAACAATGAGAATTGCTAAAGTTGCTAGAATTTGTTCCCAAGGGATCTGTCATATACAAAATCCAAACTTCAAAAAGAGCATGTGTAATTTTATAATATATGTATTATAAAACGTTTCTGCAAGAAAAGCAGCCCAATCTTAACATCCCCCGGTTACTGGCATTAGAGATACCATGAGATTAAATAAATGCTTGCTGGATGAATCAGACCTTTCAGCCTCTTTCCCCTACCAAATTTCTACCACATTCACTCAGCATGGAACATTGTAGAAGTTTACTATCAGGTCAGACCTGGGGAAATTAAGGGCGGGAAGAAAGAAGCTTCTCTAACCCAAGTGGGAGGTTCACCCTGGGATAGACTCTGGATTGATCACAGGAAGTCTGGCCTGACAAACATAGTGAAACCATCCCAGACTGGGTCTCAAGGCACTTCTTAAAGCAGAGTTTATTCCCTAGCTGGGGTCAATGTGGACCTTTTGTCTGGGCCTGAATTAGATCTCTGGGCTGTAGCTGGTGGATACTCTAGTGCTGTGATTTTGCTTATAATCACTGTTTTAGCATGGTGGTGCAAAGCGCTAGTCTGGGAATTCCGGGCTTGCTCTAACCCTGACCCTGCCACTTCTTAGCTGTGTGACCAGGCCTGAAAGAGTTAATGTGGTGCACAGGTGCAGAGCCCAGGCTCTGGAGTTCACAGGAGTCCCATGCTCCCACTTGTCAGCCTCGGTATTTGAGGCACTGACATTCTCAAAGCCTCACTTTCCTCATGTGAAATGGAGATCCTAATAGAATCTACCTCATAGGGTTGTTGGAAGCATTAAATGAAATGATGCAGCTAAATAACTGAGCAGTTTGTAGACTATAGCAAATACTCATAAGCAATAACTATTATTTAGCAATTATTGTTCCCTTTTCTGTACTTTGGCTCCCTCATCTGCAAAATGGGATTCTCCAAGCATCCTTTAGTTCTTCCATTGGATGAATGCCCTGCCATATTGAACTTAGCTTACTATTTGATTAGAGCAAATGTGATTTGGGATGATTTGAGATATAGTGTCCTTTTTATTCCAGCCTCTGTCTTTGGGTGGTCCAGACATCATAGGGCTGAGACAATTGGGTAACTTCTGACTTAAAGAAAGACTGTTCCTTAAGACCTAGCAATGGCTTTTCCAGGGAATGACCAGCCACCTGAAACTTCCAAAAAACTATTTTGTGCAAGTATTAGTGCTTCTTTGTTCAACTTGGTGATAATTATCACCTGCTGGAGAATCCAGAGGTCAACTTCTGGTCCTCAGGCAAGAAGATGGCAAAACCACTGCCACTGCCAACACCCTGAGAAAAGGCAGTCTTTTTTTGGCATGCAAGGCTGGTTGGTCTTTACATAATAACTAAAAGATTCTTTGTCTAGGGGCCTGTTAAAGGAATTAGTAAAGGCAGCACTGCTTTAAAAAAGGTAATGGGGAACTTTCCTGAATTATAGCTGCTTACTCTATTTGATTAATGTGACATTTATAGAATGTAAGAGATTTTGCCTTTAAGTTTTTTGCACTAGGGCTTTTGTATCTTAGTTTTTGGCCTTGTCGGTAAGGAGGGGGAGTGTACCTTTTTTCTCCCAATGATTATAGGCATTTTCACTTTAGAGACATACTTAGCTTTCTTTTAAGAATAATTCAAAAGGTCCATTTGTAGAGAATCCTAGGAAAATAGAATCATGTCTAGGCGTTGAATGAAAGGGCTGAAGTGTAGGCTTGGAAAGTGGTAATTAGACTTGGGTTTCTGGTAGGGTTTATAAATATGTGTTGTGAAGCCGACATTCTGCCAGCCCTTGGTGCTCATAAATGGAGTGGCATGCATGTGTTCTGGTGTGGGGAAGAGTGGCAATCTATAAGTGCTTTGCTTTTGTCACGTTGTTCAAAAATTCTGCCCACTCACCTCATTTTTGACCGTGGGATACATTTTCATGAGAATATGGAAAAGAAAGAAAGTACAGGCAGGAGGAGGGAAGCAAGAGGAGAGACAAAAGGGAAGAGAGAAAAAGAAGTTGTTTTAATCAAATGTTTCCATTTTCCAGCTACCCAGTGGCAGACCTGACCCTTACCCACTCTCCTGGCTCCAGTTCCTTCCCCAACAGTGGTGTGACTATTATGCTGCTCCCTGCTTTCATTATTAATCAGCTATATTATTTCCAAGTACTTATTCTTAATCCTTTTAAAGTTTTCCTTTCAGTGTAGTTCTTCCCACTCTCCAAATTCCGCACCCATCCAACAAATGTGAGTGTATTCCCATGTGCCATGTGTACATTTACACACACACACACACATACACACACACACACACACACACACAGACCAACATTCCAAGAGCCTCCTTGAGATATACCAGCTCGATTTTAGGAAATTTCAAGTGCAATCTCCAGAAAAACTCTGGAGATTCCTGATAGAATCTGCTCTCAATTTCAAGGGACTTGCTGAGGGCAGCCTTATACATTCTCCCACGCTGTAGCTGGGATTTAATTTGTTTTGAGCCCTGTTCTATGCCCACGTTGGAAATGCCCAAACTCTGAGAAGGTAGCTCCCACTTCTCCTAATTGGAGTCCTGGCACTTCTGATTGTTCTCAAGTGTTGGTTGTGGATCTTCCCAATTCTATCTCCTCCTTCCGTCCTAACGAGTAAGAAGCCCACCAGCCACCTTTGGTTGCTGGGCCCATGGAGTTGAGGCAAACCAGCCAGTCCCTGTAGACGTGAAACGGGCAGGGTCAGTCTCCAAGGGAGCTAAGAATGGCTCTTGCGTATATGACCTCTGCTTGGCCAACTTAACTCCTGGAGGTTTATTCTAATGTCATGTTGTCCACAGCTACAGCTTGGCATGCTTGGGCACGTGAGTGTGCAGGTGTCTATGGTGCATGTGTATAGGTGCATGTGTGCACATGAGCACATGTGGGGTGAAAAGCTGGGCTGGGCAAGAACTAGGAAAGTCTGCTTTATTAGCTGATGCTCAGATCCAGAGCCCTGGAGGATCTGGTAATGAGTTTGGAATTGGTATGCATGACATTGAATTCTGGCTTTTCCATGCAGCTATATAACTCAGGCACTTTCTGTAGAATGGTGGTGAGCAGTGCCTTTCTCACAGGAGTGTTATGGGTTTTGCCTGTGGAAGACACCCAGTAAATATTTGTGAATGATTAAATGGATGTGCCAAGAGGCTACCTTCGTATCAAGGTCTCAGTCTGAAACCTAGAAAGTAGGTAGTTTTTCCTTTTCCACATTATTATTAACAAACATGTCCATGTTCCCCACTAACTTGGAACAATTATGATTAATATTTGTAGAGTGCATGCTAAATGCTGGAGTCCGTGCTCGAAGGTTTGTATTCATTCATTGGAGAATCCTTACATTTCTGCGAGTTATTATTATCCCCGTTTTACAGATAAAGAAAGCAAGGCTCAGAGGAGTTTAGGAGTTTGCCTCATTCCTGCGGTACCAAGTGGCAGGGTCAGGATTCACACTCAGTTCTCACAAAGTGCCCTTGCTGCTCCGTAAGGACTGGTCCTTGCATTTCTTATTACCTCTGCGGCAGTGCACACACAGAGCAGGTGCTCAATAACTGTTTAAAGACAGGAACACTTGGCTAAAGACTCAGGGTGAATCTGTTTCAAAACCCAGTTCTTCTGCCTTAAAGGAAGCTTGTTACATCAGTAGTCCAGGTGAGGCTCCGGAGTCCTCAAACAGTCCTTGGCCCTCCTCTTGACCTTGATAAGACCAAGAAGTGAGCCACCTCTCGAATTCTTTTCTTTGGAACAGAAAAACAGAAGAAGCGAAGCTAAAGAAAGAGGGTTTCAACAAACAACTCATCCTGCGCCACTACGACGACGAGCCCGAGAGCGAGCGGGGGAGCGTGGGTGACCCCAGCCCCCCGAGTTTCTGGCAGGAGCTGCTGGAGAGGAAGCCTCAGATGCCAGTCGTCAGGGAGGCTGACCCCGAGATGAAAAAATTCCATTATGCCCTGGTAGACGGCTCCTCTCTTACCTAATATCCTTGTGCTGTTCCCAAGGGGTAAGAGGGACAGGGAGGCAGGACGCGATGGGAGGGGCTGACAGGCGAGGGTGTCCATGTCAGCACTGGGAAAAGAGGGCTCAGACCTTGACTTTGTTCAGTCCCTTTCTCCCAAGGGTCCACGTTTCCGGACGCTGGCTGCAGGACAAGTTCCCCAGTTTACAAACCTTCCTTCTGTTTTAAAGGAAGCTCTGATTGTGGCCAATATATTTTTGTAAAGTACCTGAAGGCTCATGGGGTTCTGAGAAAATGAGTTCTCCTGGGTTCATTTTCCTGATTAGCAAGAACCCTGTGGGGATTTAGCATCTACAAAATCTAGTTGAGAGAGAAGAGGGATTTTGTAATCAATTCATACAGATCCAAAATGGAAAAGGCCTCAAGAGTCCATCAGAGTCATTTTTGTAGAGGTTGGCACAGATAGGTTTTGTGAAGTTGTTCACCTGTCTGTCATTATCCCTCAGCCCTCCTTGGCCCCTGACTATCCACAGATGTTGGTGGGGCCACCTGGCCCTGCTGCTGTACGCTGGAATGACCTCATTGGGCAATACTAGGTAGCAACACGCAGCTTTGATTTCCAGTGACTCTGTCATTAACAGGACCAGTCGGACCAGACTCCCCTGTTATTCTTCACAGACAGGTTTCAAAGAACTGGGGGCTAAAATGAGGGTGCAGGACTGTGAATGTATGGGAAGGACATGCCACTGGGAGTCAGGAAGCGTGTGTGCTGGTCTAGCGCTGCCATCAGCATGCTCAGTGACTGCGGAAGAGAGGCACCCTCTCCAGACCTCTGTTGACTTACCTATACATAGCTGATTAAAAAAAAAAGTAGAATGTGTGTATGAGTTAGCATCTTTCTATATAAGAATGACTATTAGCATTATTGGTTTTTGTATTTGGAGATGGGGTCTTGCCGTGTTCCCCAGGCTGGTTTCAAACTCCTGGGCTCAAGCAGTCCTCCCATCTCGGCCTCCTAAGTAGCTGAGATGGCAGGAGAGAATCACAGCTCCCGCCCTCATTGTTTTTAATCAATACCATTTCCTTAACCTGGATTTTATCTATCCCTCTGGCCGTCTAGCTATCTGCCAAAGCTATTCTGACCTTCCTCGGGGTGGCATGTATACCAACATATTCAGTGACTTGCCAAATCAAGTTATCCTTGGAACCTTTACACCTTTTGGATGTGGTAGCATTTCTTTTCCTAAGAGGTACGTGAGATTCCAGACGAACTAGAACTTTGGGGAAGCTGGGGCTGGGGGTGGGAGAAAAGCTAAATCCTGACAAAGGGAAACATGGAAAAGCAATCTTTTTAATTGTCAATCTAATTGGAAAAGCAGGTAAGGAAATGAAACATACACACGTGTTCAAGGCTGTTCCTTGTACAGACTTGCAAATGAGCTCAGGCCAAAAAACCGTGGGTCTCAATCCAATTGCGCCATCGAGAGCAAAGGGACCCGTACGAAGGCAAGGCCCCAGGGATGCACGGCTGGGAACTGAGACAGGGAGGCTGCTATTTAGGTGAGCTGGGTGTCAGCTGGGTCACCCCTGTTCCACACCCATGGCCAGTCTCATGTCTTCCTCGAGATTTCTGCACAGTCTTTGGGGGTTATAAGCTTGTGGTCTCCTCTGGTTTTGACATCCTGCCTCCCTGGAATCTTTCTCCCTCTGTGTCTTATTTCCGTAGGTTTATTTTGGCTCTTTTGATTTGCTCTTTTCCTTAATTTTCACACATGAAAACCACTCACCCGAAGCCTCTGTGAGGGTAGCCAAATTTCTTGATGGTCTGGGTCACAGGGAGTTTACAGCACAGTAATACAAAAAACTTCCATGGAGCGTAAAACGCACTGAGTGTTCTTAAAAGTGCTTCATCCATCTCAGTGTTTCGTGTTTTCCTCTCCTGGGTTTCTCTTTCTCCCCTTTTCTAAGATCTCCCTTTCTCCCCACTTTCTACCCGCCCCCCTCCACACTTTTCCATTTTCTTATGGAAGGTAAATTCAGTGCTTTATAGTCATATTCTCAAATCAGCTAACTTTTAACTGTTGAACAATTTGGATGAACCATCCTGCGGTGGGGCAGTGGGGTCACCTTTTCACCTCCCACTGCTCTCAGCCACACCGTTGTAGGATATGTTTTATTCCTTTGCTTACGTATTTCTTCTTTTTCTTTCCTTTCTTTAGTAAATATTTATTGAGCATCTATTACATTCCAGAGAGACATATAAGATATGGTTCCTGTTTGTCAAGAGCTGTGTTACTGGGAACCTTGAAGGCAGTATTAAAAAGGGGTAGGAGATGCAGAAAGTTGAAACAAAAAGCTATCTGTAGAAGATATTGAAATTAATTGATTCAACAAATATTTGCAGAGCACCTTCTAGTGTGGGCACTGTTTAAGCACTGGGAATATGGGAGAGAACAAAACAAAGTCTCTGCCCTTAGTGTAGCTTAGTTTTAGTGGAGTGGGACTGAGTAAACAAATACATATCTACTATATCAGGTGGAGAAAAGGGCTGTAAAGAAAACTAAAGCAGGTAAGGGGTCCTGGAGGGTGGTGGGGATGGGGGTTGCTATTTTGTATGGAATGGCTGAGGAATGCCTTCCCGATAAGCGTGCACTTGGGCAGAAACCTGTGGAAGTGAGGGGCAGACATGCTGTCATGGGGCAAAGACCTTCAAATAAGAGCATGCTTGACATATCCAAACACAACCTTCATCTCTAGAATGCTGGCTCCCGGAAAATTTCACCAAACTATCAACCTGTTGATAAGACAAAGGTGAGTTTGTTCTAACCAAGGGAAGCAAGAGCAATACTTTGACACAGTCTTCATAGGCTCCTGTGAGTGGGGAGGGAACCTAAAAATCCACTCTTCAAGGCATGGTTGAGTAAGCTACAAGGAACTGTTGTCATGGCTACAAATCTCTGTTCACACATCCAGATGAACAGGAAAAACAACTTTCTTTATTTTTCTATAACTCCATTTATTTTCTGGTTAAGACCCTACAAGTGAGTAGCAAAAACTTAAAGCCCTGAAATCCTTTGTCTAAGAGTTCAGCTCAGTCCTAGGGGAGGGTGTGGAGGGGGCGCAGATGAAGTGACAAGGCATTGGCAGTTGGGGCATCGCCACCTGATGCTCAGGCACCTTCATTCCAAATGGTCTGCAGTGATCAGTCCCTGAAGTCTATCGCTGTGTCCTCCCAACTCCTGCTACCAGGCCTCTCGAGGCAGCTTTTCTCTCAGCTACTTCTGCTGAACATGGGGAAACTGAGGCTGTCTTCTACCCACCTGCGTAGAAACCCCACACAGCCATCTGTTCTCCTCCTCTTAAGTTGTGTTGGGCCTGGGGTCAGCTCCAAGGTTCACAACCTGCCCAGGATTTCAGATCTGAGGCCTGTGTTGAGTTCCCCCTGCCCTCCCCCTTGGCCTAAGCAGGACGGCCCAGGGCTTTTATCAGGAAGCCCCTAACACCTAACTCTCTCACTCTCCCATGCTGCTTTCTGAGCCCTACTCCTTTGGGATGGGAGAACCTGCTCCTGATGTTACATATTCTTACATATCTCCTTTGTCACATGTCCCGATATCAGCTCTTCTAACTCAAAAGCCAAGAACTTAACACTTTTTTTCTCATAATCCCTTCCTGAAGCCATAGGTGATGCCCAGGCTCTAGGTTGAGTGGGAGAAGGTCGTGGATAAAAAGGAAAGAGTGGGGGGAAAGATGGAATGCTGTGAATTTCTCCCACCGCATTACGTAACTTGCCCACTAATTCCAGGTATTAATACTTAGAGTATATATATATATATCCAAAATAAATTAAATATATATGTTACAATAAAGTACAGTCTATACACAGTGTTTATAGTCAGTTAACAAGGAGTATATAGGTATCATTGCTTTTATAATCAGAAAAACTTAAATGTTATTTTAAAAATTCATATATATACATTGTACCTACCCCATAGTATGATTGTTAGACCTAAAGAAGACTAATTAGACCAAGCGCAGTGGCTCACAACTATAATCCTAGCACTCTGCGAGGTCGAGGTGGGAGGATTGCTTGAGCTCAGGAGTTTGACACCAGCCTGAGCAAGAGTGAGACCCCATCTCTATTAAAAATAGAAAAATTAGCGGGGCATTGTGGTGCATGCCTGTAGTCCCAGTTACTTGGGAGGCTGGACAGGAGAATAATCCAGGATTATCTGCCCATCTCAAGGTCTTTAGCTGGAGGAACATCTGCAAGGTCCCTTTTGCCACATAAAAACGTGTTCACAGGTTCTGGGGATTAGGACATAGATGTCTTTGGGGTCCATAATTCCACCTACCACACCCAGTGAGGGCTACTAAATGTTTGTGTTGCAAAGCTTTTTCTGACTGTCCGACTTTTGGCTTTTAAAAATATTACCAATTGCCATGTGCTCAGACAGCCTCACCCAACTGCTGACATCACTCCTTCATCCCAGTGTCCACCCTGAATCTTGCCCATGCCTGGTCCCAAGCTCCTCCTAACATGCACCACATCCCATAGCCTCCCCGACTCCAGCCCTCCCCACACCATACCTTAGAGGCTCAGGGAGAGGAAGGGAAGGGATGGAATTAAATGTTAGTAAAGGCCGGGCGCGGTGGCTCACGCCTGTAATCCTAGCTCTTGGGAGGCCGAGGCGGGCGGATTGCTCAAGGTCAGGAGTTCAAAACCAGCCTGAGCAAGAGCGAGACCCCGTCTCTACTATAAATAGAAAGAAATTAATTGGCCAACTGATATATATATAAAAAAAAAATTAGCCGGGCATGGTGGTGCATGCCTGTAGTCCCAGCTACTCGGGAGGCTGAGGCAGAAGGATCGCTCGAGCCCAGGAGTTTGAGGTTGCTGTGAGCTAGGCTGACGCCACGGCACTCACTCTAGCCTGGACAACAAAGCAAGACTCTGTCTCAAAAAAAAAAAAAAAAAATGTTAGTAAGGGTCAGGAAAAGGTCAAAATCGGCCTGAAGGAGTCAGGTGAGAATGTCAAAGGGTCCACAACCCACCAAGTGTGGGTAGCAGAGTCTATGGTCTCTTCAAGTCCACTTACAGCAGGTGTTAATTTACTATGTTTGTTTCCTAGGGCTGTAATTACAAATGGTCATAAACTGGGTGGCTTAAAACAACAGAAATTTATTCAGTTCTGGAGGCTAGAAGTCAGAAACGAAGGTGTTGGCAGGGTTGGTTTCTTCTGAAGTCTGCGAGAGAGAATCTGTCCCATGCCTCTCTCCTCGCTCCTGCTGGTTGCCAGCATTCCTGTAGATGCCTCACTCCAATCTCTGCTTCCATCTTCACGTCGCCACCCCCTCTGTGTGTCTTTCTGTGTGACTTCTGCTCTTCTTACAAGGACTTTAGTCATTGGGTTTAGGAACCAGCCTAAATTCAGGATGCTTTCGTCGTGAGATCCTTAACTAATTACATCTGCAAGGGCCCTATTTTCAAATAAGGCCACATTCTGAGGTTCAGGGCAGACATGAATTGTTGGGAGGACAGTATTCAACTCACTATTAATACTGTGTATACCCTTCTTTAGGATATAACTTACCCCATACCTTTGCCTACTCCTTTTCCATGTGGTCCATTTCAATTTAGTTGGTGACTCATGTTTAAAGCTCATGAAAAATTTGGAACAAATGCAGCAAATAAAAAAAAATGAAATGTGGGTTTAGGAAAACATTTTCTGGCCCTTGGAGCTTTAGGAAGAGATTGACATTGTAGCTTATCCATAAGGCAGCCTCTCAGTGCACCAAGGCACCATGTGGATAAACTCACCCTCCAGATTTGCTGAATTTGAATTTTCTGAATGAGCTCCAATCATGTATTTTCCCATCCCCTATATTTTGACTTCTCCTGTCTTCAAGCTGATGGGAGTTGAGACTCAGGTCACCCAGAGGGCAAGTACCTTCCATAAAACCAGTTCGTAAATATGCTTTTATGTGCTTCTGCCACAGTCAGCATTTCCTATGTGCTGCCCGTGCTTCTGGGGCAGCCCCTCCTCAGTCTTCCCCTTCCCTGGCTGTTTTTATGAGCCAAGTCACCTGTCGAAATGTGTCAGCAGCCTGCCAGCAAAGAGAGTGCAGGTCAGCAAAAAGCTCAAAGAAACCCAAGACTAATGCCTGATTCTGAAGATGCAAAGAGAGAGAGGAAGAGGGAGATTAATAGGGTAGGTAGCAAAGTGCCTGGGTGAGCCACATGTAAACA